AGGCACACAATTAAACAGGGAGGGGAGAAAAGCAGGGAGCCAACAATAGGAAAATAACATGACAAGAATAACTGAACAGATATCAGTTATAACCATCAACATTAATGGTCTCAATTCACCAATCAAAAGACAGATTGGCAAAATGGATTAAGAAGCAAGATGTAACAACATGCTGTGTACAAGAAACACATTCATATATTTGGTATGGGGGTCTCACTATGCAGGCTGGACTCATAGTGATCCTCCTGTTTCAGCCTCCCTAGCACTGGGATTATAGGTATGTGCTACAACACCCTGTTTTGATGACTGGCTCAGCATGCCTGGGGTGGGGCCAGCACAACATGTAGTGTGGGGATCCAATCCAGGTCCTTGTGTTTACTAGGCAGACACTTAGACCACTGAGCTATCTTCCCTTCCTGGCCCAAGAAACACATTTACTTCAAAAAAATTCATAGACTGAAAGTCAAAGGATAGAAAACAATATTCCATGTGACTGGAAAAAGCATAGGTAGCTATTTAATTGGCAGACAAAGTGAATTTCAAGTATTAAGAGAGATAAAGGTCACTACATCCTTGTAAATGGAACAATCCAAAAGGAAGAGATACAATCATTCTCTCTCATTCTCTCTGTCTCTCTGTCTCTGTCTGTCTGTCTGTCTGTCTGTCTGTCTGTCTGTCTGTCTGTCTCTCTCTCTCTCTGTCTCTGTCTCTGTCTCTCTGTCTCTCTTATATATCAAGTGCACCTAACTATATAACAGATTTTAATGGACATGAAAAATAAGCACTAATACAATTGTACTAGGGGATTTCAATATCTGTTGTCACAAAAATACCAACTAGACAGAAAACTATAAAACTGAACCAAACTTTTGAACAAGTGGACGCAGTAGATGTCTACACAGTGTTCCACCCCATAGTATCAGAAAACACATTCTTCTAAGCTGCACATGGGATGTTCTCTAAAATAGACCACATATTAGTTTATAGAACATTCTAAAGTAAATGCAAAGGAACTGAAATTCTCCCATGCATATTATCAGGCCATAGTGCAAGGATAAAATGGAAATTAACAGCAAAGAAACCACAAGAACTTCATAAACACATGGAAATTAACACCCTCCTGAACAGCCAATGAGTAACAGATGAAATTAAAGAAAATATGCAGTTTTTACAATTAAATGATAATGACGCTATAATATACTGGAACTTTTGGAACATAGTGAAAGCAGTCCTAAGAGGGAAATTTACAGCATTTAATACCCTATTTTAGGAAAACAGAACAAGCACAAATAAACAATGGTGAACCTTAAATTACTAGAAAAAGAGCAGGCTAAGCCAAAA